AAGGACTTTGATAAGGTTCGTTGCTCACTTTTTGCTAATGTATGTAGATGGCGAAAGCAGAGAAATTACAACCGATCGAAGTGCTACTGAAAAAACTAGAAAGTCTAGCCGATGAAATCGTGCAGGATTTTGTTGTCATGCATTCGAAAAGTAGCAAAATGCGAAACATCAACGGTAAGTAAGGTTGATATCACATTCTTGTTGCTTCATATGTGATATAACAATCTTCCGAGTTCGTATAATTGATGATCAGTCCCATTATCGTGATAGTGATCACTATTTACACACTAAACTAGCAAAGCGTTGGTAACTGGGGTTTCCGTCATTATTTTCCGCAACTTATTACAACAATAGTCATCCAGTTAGCACATTTCTAGAATCTTAGGGTGAAATAGGTTTGACTGTCATCGATAAGTAGCTATTCTGCTGCCCGTACTATGCCAAAATATTCCGAAGTCGTTACGTTTCTCATTCCTTTCGCCAGCGATGATGTACGGCTCTGTAAAGCGGTGGAATGTGATACCCTTTGTTTTTTGTTTGTTTGTATATGAAAACTAGTGTCCGTTCAGCACATTTTTGGTTGACAATAAACCATGTCTCTTTGCTTCTTCTGAGCCTACGCGTAGTTAGTGTGTATTTGTTTTTCATTTCCTAAAACTTGTATTCTGCTTCGGTTTCGGAACCCGGGCAGTATCACAGCCCTCACACATATCAAATGAGATCTGTGTGGCGCATATGTATTCGATGCCTTCTTGTACCAATATCTGTGTTAAAATTAATAAATAAAAACTTGTATTTACCCTCGATAAGCCAGTCCACTGGGAATCATCAATAGCAAACGGAGTAGAACTTGTCACAAATTTGCGTTGCCTCAAACTCATGCTACATGTTATTTTTCGAACTTAGAACTTTTGAACATCATATCGACAATTTTGTAGCTTTATGAGCATCTCTCTTATGCTATAAATGATACACTGCGCCGAAAAACAGGTAAGGTTGTTCAATCCCTGCCGAAAGTTCATCAGACACTAACCTGCCAGGGCTGAAAAAACCTCAATAGTGATTGCAGTAATCAATACACTCAACTGATTTGCTCACTATTATCATGTCCTACCGATATCGTCCCAGAGAATCCCACGTCGTGTATTAATTGAGAACGCTGGAACTGGTTAAAAAATGCAAAGAGATGGTCAATGTGTGACATTGTGTCGTGGTATGAGAGTTGGTGTCTGATGAAATCTCAGCACGAATTCGAAAAGCTCGTTTGGTTTTGCCAATTTACGTCACCTATGGCGAAGGCGAGATATCCATATATCAATTAAATGACGAGTATACTGTGCGGCAGTTTTCCTGTTTTAATTTACGTCTGCGAAACGTGGTCACTAAGGACAGATATTCGTAAGCTAATAGGATTTGACCACATATGTCTAGGAAATAATGCTCGCATCTGCTGGGACCACCGGATAAGTAATAGTGAGATTAGACGCAGGGTATTATGGAATTATGGTAAATCAGTTGATGAGATTGTGAATCTTCATTGACCGAGATGGTTGGGCCACGTGTTACGTATGCCTGTACACCGATAACCACGACGCGCAATTCTGACTATTGTAGGAGATGGTTGGAAGAAAGTTAGGGGTGGCCAAATCAAAACGTGTCATCAGTGTTTGAAATCATTGACTTCTGGTGTGAGACACGCTGGTAGATGCAGAGTACTTGGTTGGGGTTCGCGTGACTCGTAATCGATGGTTTAAGACTCTAAGTGACATGGCTCAGAATCGATCACAATGTCGTAGGTGTATACACTCTTTGTCTTCCTTTAAACTATGAGATTAAAGTCACTTCATAAATTTTTTCCTGTACTATGTCCTTATATGCAATCTTTCTTTTATGTATTGCCGCCACTGAATTAACTACTACTATGAATTTGCTATGTCTTGCTGGGTTAATGGGGTATGACAACTTGGACCGGTCCACATATGTGCCTGGTCCTACGTTGTAGCTGACTGGCTGGTGAAATTTGCACGGGACTGGCTTCTATTGGTCCTTCATGACTACCCGGCTGTGGTCCTAAAGATGGTGCGACACAGTGGCTAGAGACGTTATCAGACTCAGAATATGAACTAGTGGCGATCCTGCTGTAGCTTTCTTTTACTTCATAAAACTAAATGTAACTTCCTTGACTGAATTCTTTCTGATTGTATTTTTACTAACCGAACTGCTTTTCCCCATAATGATGTTTTTTACTTCACTTCTATACTTCAATTTCTGTTCATTGTTGTTCTTCCTTTTATTATACGCATTGTACGCCTTTTATCTCTTCAAAACCTCATTGTCATTGTGTGGTATTTGTTATTTATTTATTTTAACACATAGATATTGCTACAAAGAGGCACCAGATAGATATGCGCCACACAAATCTCATTCGATATGTGTGAGGGCTGTGATACTGCCCAGGTGCCCAAACCGAAGCAGGTGGTTTACTTAGGGAAGCCACTCCCCGAGCCTCCGGCCTGAGGGTCTGATCCACAAGGCAGTGGAACATCGTAAAGAGATGCAGTCTCATGGAAGCCTGTGACCAACTATTGGTTCACACGCCATTCGTTCCCACAAGGTACTGGAGCCCATGTGCACCATTGGTTTGGAATCCGGTTAAAGCGCCGGACATTCGCTTTCCGTCCTCTCATTTTCGTAAACAACACCCCTGCCACAAGAAGGCAGTGAGTAGGACTTCCCTGACAGAGGCTATATACGCATAACCACATGAGAGCATTTCGAGATGGAGAGCGGACTCTCCCCACTCTCGGCCGTACCAGGGCATTTGGGGGCCATTGTGTGGTGCATATGTATATGGTGTCCTCCTTGTACCAATGTTTGTGTTCAAATAAATAAACAGCTTACGGCATCGTCAGAATCATATTCTTTCCGAAAGGGTAGAAGCATTGCCTTTGTTGTTAGAAGTTATATCCAAGTCGATGTAATATAAGTTTCTATTTGATTCCTATGTTTTAATAAACAAATTTTTGATTGCTTGCTAATCACTTTCTAAACCAATACTGATGAGTATTTAAAAGACCATATTGTCAGTTATGTCACGTGGGTTGTAGTATCACTCCCGTAAAAATACTAATTTTTTTACTTCATTTAAATTATCGTAAAAGTCAACCCACTTTCATTACTTCTTATTTTCCAGAATCTACTCATACGAGGGTTCTCTACTTCTCAATCCTTTCAATGGTAATCCTCATCGGCTTCGCATGTTGGCAGGTACTATATTTAAGACGTTATTTCAAGTCGAAGAAGCTGATTGAGTAATGTAAATTGATTTTCCATCTTTTAATATCTGCGAAAAAATCCGTTTTATTGTACATGCCTTGCGTCTGGTTCATTTCTGAAATAATAAACTTGTGTGGGAAAACTGTACAAATCTAGTCTCACATTGCTCATCCTTTTTTATTCGAAGTTGCTTGTCTGAACTGTCGTTTCATATGTGTAAGATGTATTTCCATTTAGATAATATAGCGGTATGTGGCTTAATATGTATTATCTTTTTTTCGGTCATTTTCTAATAAATGCTTTAAAGTCCGTTTTGGTGTTTTGTGCTCTGCGGAACTGGTGATTGATAAGAAGAGAATAGAGCAATCATACCACTAAGGATCTAGTTAGAGAACTGACTGAACATTCGTGATAGTGCTTATTCTTAATAAATGACCTTAAAGATGGACTCAGTATCCGTGTAAGGATACAAGAGAAAACTGAAAGAGCGAAAGCAGCCAGCTCTAATAAGCCTTAATCAGTGACCAAAGTAGTAAGGTCTATGCACATTCCTTGCGAACGTAGTAGTAGTAGTACTACTACCGCGTAATACCATTGCTTATTTGGTATTATTTATATCACTTCCGTAAAGCGCACATGCTGGTGCAGTCGCGATGCGAATTTTCTATACTGTCTTCGCACACTACATATATCTGACATGCCGATCCACCTACCATCGAAATGCGAGGAAAACCTGACATTTTTGGTCTCTAATATCATATCAACTAGAACCGATTGCTTGATTTGTCAAACAAGGTGTTGTTTAGGACCAACACCTCCCAAGTGGATATTAAACGTCCGAGCAACAAACTTTGAACACACTATCAGTGCCAGCTTTTATAACCAGTTAGTAACACAATAGAGCCTAATGCAGACATCAATTCGCTCAAAAGTCCATGCCTTGTCTGGGGTGTCACCCGTTAATACAAACCAAAATAGCATACTGAGTCAAGATTCAAATGCTTATGTGCGCTGCATGTTTTTACCAACTTGGTTAACTAAGAATTGCATTTGGGTTGACGAAGGTTTAATAGGCGGAATAGTTATTTACTTAGTTTCTTAAAAAATAGTGTTGTGTATTTCATTCACTTACCTTGTCAATATCCGAGTTCTAGATTGATAGTCTGTTGATACATACCTAGCCAAGCCCGTAACTTAATCATACTATAGGATGTGTACACTCCTTGTCTCTCCTTAAACCGTGAAATTAAATTGCTTTATACATTTCTTTCTTCCTGTATTATATCCTTATACACAACTTTCCTTTTATGCATTACTGCCATTGAAGTAATTACGATGAACTTGGTGTTCACCCTGTTGTGCTAATGAGGTGTGGAAATTTGTGGCTGACCGACTGGCGTTCTATGGGGTCTAGAAACACTAAGATGCTGATGGGACAAACTTCATAACGGCTTCCCATAATACCAAACGGAAAACTATCGCTATATCTTAAAGCGCAATTACAAAACCTTACATCTATCGAGAACCTCAACTCATTAAGTCTATATACGTTAAGATTTTTTCTCTATACTGTGCAATTCAATGAAAAACAGATTTACTACCGCAAATACACAACTAGTTCAGGTTCAGTTGATAAAATAAGTAAAATATAAATAATTGATATCTCTGTACAAATTAATTTGAGAACGACATATCAGAAAAAAGATATAGAAAAAGTGACTAATCTACAGATTTCGTGATACTTCACAAATATCTACATTCAAATCAAAAAATGACAAAAGTGCATAATCAACTTGACGTGGATCATTTCCTGAAACTGAGTGTGAACATGAAGCTTTCGCATGCCACTTAAGCAAGCGTTCTAGACATTCAATTTCACTGAGTAGTGATTTAATATTGGACGCTCCACAAATCATTGCACAGATGTCGACTAGCCACTTCATGCTTCGGCTAGGGTCAGAGCAATGTAAACATACAGGTTCCTCAGCTTCTAAGATCTGAGAAGCATTGAAATTGTTAGATTCTAATAAACCCGTAGGAATTCAAATAAAAAATACGGACAATAAATTATTCAGATAACTCGTAAACAACAGTAAAATGAATCACGTAATTAAATAGGTCTTATAACAATGCAATGTGCTGAAATCCTAAAAACAGTAAATTTTGCATACTCTAAACTGAGTGACAGAGATTTTTTGTACTTCTCGTTTCTGAGATACAACCAGACCCAGTGAACTTAACGTTAAATATCCTTACACATAGTCTACGCTTGAATTAGAATAATGGGCTACTTTGAGAGTCAAGTGGTAATATTGTGTGTTAGAATAGTCAACTGAAATATCAAAGTTTATAATGAGAAAAACAACCCAGACGAACCCTTCCTAGTTATATAGCTTAGTGCTTTTGAGGAACGAGATATTGGATGATTATCGATCCTAGGAGACAAACTAATTAATAGATAGATTGAGATTCGACATTGGTTAAGGACTTCTTAACCATGAATACAGCTAATCGACTGGACACGACTGCACATCCAGAGAAGTGGAAACAATATGAATCCATGTAGAAAAGCTCGATAGCGCGTAAAGGAAGTAACTAATGTGCTTGAGAAGAAATGTAACCATTTGAGTTATGTGCTTCGGAAATGTGACTGTATGCACATGTAGCGACGTTCATACATTGTTTCCCTAACAATTGATGCAACTAAATCGCTTCTGTAAAACTTAGTGCTCAGATAAGTCTCCACAGGAGAAAATAAGTATCCTTGGTGTTGCACGTCTGGCAACATGGACTTACTTACACCTGTTACTCCTCGTGGAGGTGCATAGGCCGTAAGGATCGATCATGCACAGACCGAATTGAGACACTACGGATCATCACCGAACAATCAGTTGAATGGGACTTGTCACTACATCAACTTCTTTGATTATGAAAATACGTTTGACAATGTAGATAGGAGAACATTATGGAAACTTCTTCGACACAAATGCACAACAGACACATTAACATACTACATCAACACAAAGAGGAATGGTAAAAGATCTGAAATGATTTCTGCATGAGATCAGGAAAGACTAAACATTAAATAATGCAGTGAGAAAAGAAAGGGCGAATTTAAGCGATAAAAATACGAAATAGTTATGAAGCTCAAGACTTAGACGGTGATAAAGAGTAAATGCATCTAATCCACTAAGGTTAATATCACTCGATGTCTTCAATTACAGATAGCGCGAACACCAAATAGTTGGCCTGTCTCTACCAACACTAAGTAACCACATGAACTAATGCTTATCCTAACAACGATGAGAGCTACTTTTCAGCCACATAATAACAACCTAATGGCTCTTGGACTTGTAGAATAAAGTGTAATGAAGGGAGTGTAAGATAATACAACTTATTATTATTAGTAAGAGATATGCATGCTAAGAATTATTATTCCTTCTGAACCTGTACAATGGATAACACTTTTGAAATCTTCAAATAATGAGAAAGCCAAAACGTAAAAGAAAGTTGTCAAATTAACAATAAAATGATGGAAACTGTTAATCAATATACATTACCTTCCGTTGGAGAATTATCCTTGTCGTTCTGTTTGGCATGAACTAATTCATCATGACCAAGCGCTCTGGATAAACTTTCATCATGTTTAGCAATGAATTCTTCTACTGGTTTTGGTAAAATAAGTGGCTGTTTGCTACGATTACGATTTTTCCACTGAGATTTGCTGGAAGAATTTGAAGACCATTCTCCGATACAAATCGAGTAGTAATCAGATCGTTGCTTTATTAAATCTGACCACCACTCTCTTATAGTGCATTCATTAAATCCGCATGAATCGGTCAATGTTTGATGGTCAGTGAAAGAATTTGGAATATAATCATCAACATTAATATCTTCGTTATACAAAAAGTTTAACTGTGTATTGAGAAATGGGCTTAGTAAACCATCTTGTTCGCAATCTGAAAGTAGCAAACTTTTGTAAGTTGTGGTTTTTTTACTGTTAGTACTGGAATCAGATGTAAAATTACCGACCACCATTTGATGATGATGCGTACATTGATTTTGAGTAGTTAAAGTTGAATCAGTCAAATCAACCACTTGACATGGTTCGAATAGATTACGCAATGGCTGAGATAGTAACAATTTTACTGAAGCCTAAGTGAAGAAAACGACGATTAATAATATGAAATGAGTTTATGTACAAGAAAAGCATGTAATCATTAGGTATCTATTCTATTGTAATAATGTTGAAATGTAATCGAATTTAGAAAGTTTAAGCTCATAATGAAAAGTAAACTATTCGACAAAAATCATTATACGTAATATTAATAATAAAAATAAATATTAATGGAGTTGTAAATATTTATTTTTGAAATTCTTCCATATATATTCATTACCATTTCTAGTCAAAGCGATATAATTTCATATCTTTAAATTCAAAACTTGGCCAGAATAAATTCCATTTCAGTCAAATCACAGGATCTTCCAATGAGTCAAACAATTTATTTTTCCTCTTAAGAATATGTTTGGAAAAGGGGAACTTCGTTGAAGAACAAAATATAATATTTGATTCATGATAGCGATATATATATATATATATATATATGCTGATGTTGTTCGGAAGAACAGTGAAAGCTCCACGACTAATCTATCCAGCTCAGAGGACGAAATTCCACCAAAACCAATCACCTCAGCTACAAATATTCTTCACCATCTCAATAATATTATATTCCTCTAATTGCAATTCCTCGTTTGGGGCATAAATTATTGTTGTATGTTTTACCTTTCTTGATTGACTGCGAACCAATTACTTAGTTCTCTTTCACTTATGGCGTGGTTATGCCCACATTGTAATATTTTATCGGTGTTGATGTTTGGTCAAAAAACTACTCCATATTATTGTATAGATTGAGTCATATAACGAACTACTGCTCACCGTGTTCGCTTATGAGATTGAATATTGGAAGTAGAATGTTCCATTTGGACAAATAGGTGTTTACATTATTTTTGTCACAGCTCAAGATTAATCGTTACCAGAAAATATGTAGGACGTTAGTTTATAGAGAAATATAACCACCAAATCTAACACAATGAAAAAAACCCCACCTACAAATAGGTTTACAGAAATGCCAGATATTTGAATTAATTTAAAATAAAGTATTCACTTACCTTATTTATGAGATACACAAACATAAGAATTTAATAGCAATATAGTAGAACTCACATCAGCTATTTTAATTTTTTTCATACTCTTCTCATTCCAACCAATATCACGACCAATTTTGAATTCGGTTGAACCTAAGAAATCAGAAGCTTTATCTAAGTTGAGTAGCTCAGATCCTTGATTAGCAGTCATGACTAATGGTTGATTAGATTCATGAACTCGAGCATTACTATATGGATTTTGATCACTTTTCAACAAATGTAAATTAAGTTTGTGAGATGGATGAAATCGTGAGTCGATATATTGCACCCATGAAATCCAGACAAAAGGTCGATCGTATAATGAGATGTCCGACGTTTGAGCACTTTTAACTGGACGATTGGGAAATAACTCCAGAGCTTTAGCGACAGAACTAAGTCGATGCTACGTAATTAGTAAAACAAAAAAGCAATGAATTTGTAAAGATGATACCTGAAAATCCATTCAAGTAAATGTTCACAGTCGTCAAATATCTCATGGCACAAAAAGAGAACGAAAATTGTGTGAGGAAAGTGAAGATTTCACATGAAACCACAGATAATTTTATTTTATAAATTAGTTCACAAGTTCTAAACAACATTCTTGAAAAATTGTAATAAAATGTTCGAAATGTTTAGAACAGAAAGTAGAAGAAAATTGGATAATTTACGGTTGATTACGAATTATGATAGAGTACATGATAACCGTCACTTTATATAAATGTAGAGTGATTGACGGCTTTTGGATCTTTGTATTGTTAGTCTAGTCATTAAAAGTAGGATATACAGTTTGTTAATAAGAGCGATTCTGCTTCATGTTTATGAAACCAGGATACACTCAGTTGGTGATATTCTACAACTATGTATTTGATGATTATCACATGTAAAACATCCAACGACAACACTGTTAGTGATACTGAAGTCCGGCAATGTGCATTCGGCCATAGTGTCAATAAATCTCACCAACTTGAAGTGCTGGTTTGGTGGCTTGAACAAATTTTATATATATCATCTCAGTAGATCGCAAACCACTCATTATTTCCCGAAGCTGAGACTAGCTAGAAGCAAATGGAGACATGGTCAGTTTATGACATGACGTTGTGGTACGAGAGATAGTTGTATAGGACTATCATCTGTCAGTTCATCATATCTCCTCAGCTGAGATCCTAAAGATCGTGCAACTCAATGCTTTAAGGAAGTATTAGATAAAACTGATAAGAAAGATAGTCGACGATACGGAAACCTCTTAATTGTTAATCGTTCTCAGCTTTATCTTCTACTGAACTATACATTTTGCCAAATATTTTTTATTTTTATTCATTTTTCATAGTACGGCCTTTATTATAATTCTTCACAGCATATAACACTTCTGTGCATTTTGGCCTTAGAATGAGCTAAATTTTGTGTTCAAAACCAGCAGTGAGATTAAACAAGGTTTATTTAACCTAGTCATTGATACGACTGTCTAAACAGCTCTGAAAGAAGTAATTATTCATGATACAAACATTTTCGAGAAAGACTTTTTGACCTTGATTATGCTGATAACAAGCAACCTACTCAATCAGTTGTCAACTAGTGTACGTATGTATGACATGTAATGTACACCAATGGAACACAAATTACTTCTATGGTCTGGCATGAGTCTAACTGTTATGTCTATGTCCCGCTAACACTAAACGAACACTCATTCTTTGCGATAACCAGTGGAAAATTGTCGAGTAACTTGGCAGCTTTGTTGATATTATCATCTGACTGTAAATGGCAAAGTGGAAGACAATGAATGAAATCGGAACATGAAATGAATATTACTGATCTACGATCAATTTACCAATGATATTCAAGGTTAACTTACTTCAAAGGTATCATCGAATTTGAATACAAGACGTAACAATATAACAACTAATGCCATTGCAAACACTTCCGGTCGAACGACCCTAGGCCAGGGGATTGAACTTAACAAAGAGCGGTATATATATTTACCAACAGGAATACATTCCTGCTGTAGTCTCTCTAACAAAGGTCGTACAAATTCATGCATTACCACCGGAAGACCTAGAGCGGTTATATGACGATGCACCAACCAGCTCAGTGGATATCTATACGTGAATAATAGAAAAGGCAAACTTTACGACATCGTGAATTGATACGGTATAAAGACATCAATTTTGATCCAGTTTAAGATTAACTAAATGAGTGAACAGCTGAATCAATCTATTTTAATATTATAACTTTCTCCGGATAATAATATATAGCTGTTTCATCAGAGTGAACACCTCGAAAGTGTTCAGAAGTAAACATTTACCAAGAACCAGTTTTGTAACAAAAATTACTGAGGTGAAAACTTATTGCTTAGCTAGCATGTTTTTTTAATTGTCTGCTCATGTACATTTGATATGTCATTACTACTCCATGAGTGACTGAACCCAGGAGGAGTTACTTACCAACTAGAAATTCATAGTTTGAATAATCATATTAACGTTTTGCATTATAGATGTGCACAGTAAATCGTAAATGAAATAGGTGACATTTTGAAACAGAACTAGCAAGTACCAAGTGCAGTTGATAATAAACTTAATTTTGCGGTTTAATGTAGGTCAATAGGAACCTAAACTTAACAAGATCTATGTACTTTTTTGGACACAACAATACTTGTAACAAAGAAATGATCCATATAAATAAATAAACTACGAAACGGACATAAATGCTTCTCGATGTTCAGAAATTCAAGAGGGTTACCCTTACCCATCCACAATAGCATAAGGATAGTCGTCTACAAATGTCGATTTTCCCAAACGACAATCAAAAGTCAAACATAAAACCAAGCTAATGGTTATTTCGTACAATTTCGTATTTAGTGTGTCATTATCGAATCTCCTAAAGTTTCTTTCATTGTTTATAAAAACGCTTTTAAGCTACTATTTTGCTGATGCTTGAATACGTTAATTTTTTGTTCTGTTAATAAGGGCGTTGCAAAACAAATTTACGTGGATTGACTTTGGGGAGAGCAAGAACAAAGATTGGTGCAGAATAATATGAATTCATTTTATTTCGTTAGGTTCTCATTAGCTGCATACAACCTAAAGTATTTGAAGATCAGAGTTATTACAGATATTGACATACTTATACATAAGAGGGTGATTAAGGATGAATATATGTTTCATGATGTAGCGAAGATTCCGATAGAGTTAATGGGGTCATAAAATTTTGTTTCGAATAAATAAAGTTTGGGAGGGAAAGTTCCAGAACATTGAAATAGTGATTAGAACTCATGGAATTAGAAAAAGCAGTCGATGAGAACCTAAAGAAATAAAATGAATTCATATTATTCTGCACCAACCTTTGTTCTTGCTCATCTTTAAGATAATAAAGGGAACTATGTGTATGGGAATAACTTTGGGCTTAATTAATCTTATTGGTAGATCTAACAAATCATTTAAGTAGTATTCAGATGTTCATTTTTGAACTAGCCAGAACTGTATGAGAAAATTGGATACTGCTTTTTTTATTGTGTCACTACTTGGTTGGGGTCCGCGTGACTATTGTAACTAATGGTTGGAGACTCTTGGTGACATGGCCCAGAGTCGATCACAACGGCGTAGGTGTGTACACTCTTGGTCTTCCCTTAAACTATGAGATTAAAATCGCCTCATATCTTTCTTTCTACGAACTAATTCTTTCTTACAGTGCTATATCCTTATATGCAATCTTTCTTTTATATATTACCACCATTGAATCCGGTTTTCATCTTGCTGTGCTATGCGGTAGGAAAACTTGGATGATGTATATATGTGCCTGGTTCTACGTTGTAGCTGATTGACTGACTGACTATTGTATCACGGTAGCTAGTATTTAGAATATTAAGGTGATTCATCCAGGCATCACCCAAATATAACGACTAAAACACAGAGTTTTGAAATGCTCTCTAGATCTATTACCATGAAGATAAGACAACAATAATAGTCATTGCAAATTCATTATTATTGATAGGGGATCAGATGTTATCTGTAATAGCACCGAAAGTCAGTCAGTCAGTCAGCTACAACGTAGGACCAGGCACATATGTGCATCGGTCCAGGTTGCCATACCGCATCAGCACAACAAGATGAACACCGGATTCATAGCAGTGGTTATGTCAAAGGTGGTAATATATAAGAGAAAGATTGCATATAGAGATATAATACAAGAAGAAAGAATTGGTTCGTAGAAAGAAAGATATGAAGCGATTTTAATCTCTTAGTTTAAGGGAAGACAGGGAGTGTATACACCGACGCCATTGTGATCGATTCTGAGCCATGTCACCAAGAGTCTCCAACCATTGGTTACGAAAGTCACGCGGACCCCAACCAAGTAGTCTGCATCTACCAACATGGCTCAGACTAGAAGTTAGTGACTTCAAGCACTGATGCCACGTTTTGGTTTGGCCGCCCCTAACTTTCTTCCAACCATCTCCAATACCGGATAGCATTGCACGTCGTGGTAATCGGTGTTCAGGCATACGTAACACGTGGCCCAACCATCTCAGTCGATGAAGATTCATAACCTCATCAACTGATTTACCATCATTCCCTAATACCCTGCGTCTAACCTCACTATTACTTACCCGGTGATCCCAGCAGACGCCAGCAATATTTCTAAGGCATCTGTGGTCAAATACTAGTAGCTTACGAGTGTCTTCTACTCTTAATGGCCATGTTTCGCTGCCGTAAATTAAAACAGAACGGACTGCCGCGCAGTATACTCGTCCTTTTATTGATAGACGGATATCTCGCCTTCGCCACAGGTGACGTAAGTTGGCAAAAGCCAAACGAGCTTTTCGAATCCGTGCTGAGATTTCGTCAGACACCAACCCATTAGGGCTGATCAGACTTCCAAGATAAGTGAAGTTGTCAACGCGTTCGACTACTTCACTCCCTATCCTTAGTTCAGGTGTTGACGCAGACCAGTCCTGAAGCAACAACTTGCATTTAGAGGGAGAGAAGCGCATTCCAAACATTCTGGCATTGTTGCTTAGTGCTACCAGAAGACTCTGCATTTTGTCAGCGTCTTCACCAAACAGGACTATGTCATCTGCGTATTCTAAGTCGATAAGTGGACCTCCTGGATGGAGATCAATACCCGAGAATTCAGTCGACGAGAAAGTTATTTCCATCAGTAGGTCTATGATGAAGTTAAACAAAAATGGGGAAAGTGGACAGCCTTGACGGACACCACTTGAGGTTGCAAAAGTAGATGACAGTTCGCCATAAGCTCTGACTCGACTAGTAGTGTTCGAGTAAAGAGCCTTCACAAGGTTTATGTACTTCTGAGGTACGCCTTTCAATGACAGACACTGCCACAGAATCTCGCGGTCTACAGAGTCAAATGCTGCTTTTAAGTCAAGAAAGACCACCATTGTCGGACGCCGATAAGTATGCCTGTGTTCTAGAACCTGACGAATGGTGAATATGTGGTCGATGCAGCCACGACCAGGTCTAAAGCCAGCTTGGTTCTCTCGTGTTTGCAGTTCACGAGTCTTAGTTAGGCGTCTGATAATTATCGAGGCTAGTATTTTAGATATTATATTAGTTAAACTAATCCCTCTGTGGTTGTCACAGGATGATTTTGACCCTTTCTTATATATTGGGACGATAAGTGATTGTGACCAGTCAGATGGGATAACGTCTAACTCCCAGATTTTAGCTAAAATATTAGTCAACCTAATCGCTAAAATTGGACCACCATCCTTAAAGACTTCTGGAGCCAGTCCATCTGGACCAGCTGCCCTTCCTCGTTTCAGATTAACTATAGCCTTTTGAACTTCAGCAAGAGTTGGGGGACCTACTTCAATGTTCCATTCACGCTGTCTGGGAATGGAGGGTAGTTGTAGAGTAGCTGAAGGCCAGCTGAACTGTTCTCTGAAATGTTCCGCCCATCGTTCTAAACGTCTGGACTGGGAGCAGATGAGAGTATCGCCTTTTTCCGAAATAATCTCACTTACACTTGACTTATTAATTCCAGTTTCTTTTATTAGTCTGTAAAGCTGTCTTGTGTTCCCTATAGTCGCCGCCTTTTCCATCTCTTTTGCTTTCGTTGCCCACCACTGCTCACGGTCGTTCCTTAGACTTTTTCTTAACCTAGATCTGATTTGTTGTCGCTCTTCATCATGTTCGGAACCTGATGGGACGAGTTTGCGAGAATCCATCAGTGTGATAGACTTTGAAGAAATCCACTGGTTCTTTGTAACTCTGTGGTTTAAGTCGCTAATAGATGTCACTGCTGTTTCCACAGCTGCTTGTATGTCTTTCCAAGCAACATCTGGGTCAGCCTCGTCTTCAGAACTACCTAAGTGTGACCTCAGTTGTTCCTGGAACCTACTTTTGGTTTTCTCGTTACTCAACTCAGTTCTAATGGGTCTTTTTAATGTGGCTTTTTTGCGTCCAGTGAGGCGCAAGCAGATGCGTGCCCGTATTAGGGCATGGTCGGAGTCCAAGCAGGTACTCCAGAATGAGCGACAATCTTCTACCGACCCTCTCCAACGATGACTGATGGCAATATGGTCTATTTGAGTCCATCGTTGGTTTGGTGTAGGGGGTCGCCATGTTAGACGATGTCTCTCCTTATGCTTAAAATTTGTGTTTGCTAAAAATAAACGATTGTCTGAGCATAGTTGCAGCAGACGATCACCATTATCTGTTCGCTGTGCCGGAATACTAAAATATCCACCTAAATGCCTTTCTGTTTGGTTTAAACTACCTATCTGAGCATTAAAGTCACCCCCTACGAGTACTATGTCTGAGCGTTTAGCTTTCTGAAGAAGTTCGGACAGCTTTCTGTAAAATTCATCTTTCACTTCATCTGAGCTGCAGTCAGTGGGAGCGTAGGCAGAAACGACGAAAAGGCAACGACGTGTGTCCCTATCCTTCCGAGTTCTTACGGAGCCGTTTAGCCGAACAGCACATAGACGACTGTTGACGGGGATCCACTCTAGCAGTGCTTGTTCCGCCCTCATGCTTAGTGCTATGCCTACACCTGCCAGTCCACGAGAACTGGCCATCGGGTCACCAGATACACGGAGGGTGTATCTCGTTGGCTCTCCGTTTTGCCGAGGTGAGGTCAAGTGAATGACCACACTGGAATCCTGTATGCGTGTTTCGGAGACACAGCATACATCAATGGAAAGAGACTCTAGGGTTTTAGCCAAGGAAGCCTGCTGACCGATTTGACATAGGGTGCGTACGTTGAAGGCTCCAATGTGTAGTTTGGAGCGAGGTTTCAGTAGACCTGGGACAGGTTTTGAGCACTAGAATCGTTGGCTATGGTGACACTTGAGGAGGAAGCCGAAGGAGGAAGTTTAGGGTTGAAAGTCGATGTAGGAGGAATAATAGGAATTGAAGAGGAAGGTTGATTATGAATACAGTGGTCTTGAGTGCTGTTAGAGGTATGAGGGCGGTTATCACTTCCCGGTTGCCCACACCGTGGAAGGGTTCTTCTGGAGGTACCTGAAAAGGAAATTGGATTAGAGGCGGTCTCAGTGACCTGAGAGCGTGACCGCAGTGCCCAAGGGACAACTGCTTGAGGCCGGTCGCGCACGGCCTTTTCGTGAGAGGTTTGTGACGTGTTAGCTCCGTTCTTCAAAGGGCCTTACCGCCGGAGACGGAAATCCGTGGGATAAGGTGAGGTGTGCATTTTTAGGGTCGACCTTTTCTAACCCCACCCCTCCTTGTGGGAAGGCAGCATCGCTGTCATGCTGGTTGTCTGAAGGAAACACCTTACTGCTGTCACACCTCTGTACAGTCAGCAGTACGACTTCGCCTTCGGACCTTGGGTTTGTTGCTTTTAGTCTTACCGCTCTTCAACCGACCTGTCTGACATGGTAGGACCTTGAGGAACGGTTGTTCCAGCCAGTATAGCTCGGTTGCTTCATCACGATAGGCAAGCCCGACCACCACGTTAAGGTAGCAACAATGGTCGGGATAGCACCGAAAAGTCCGTTTGAAGTAAAATTGAAGATAAATGAACAACACACAGGGTTGTAGAAAGTAAAAGACTTCTAAACAAGTATCATCGAAACACTTAAAAACGATTTGAAAAAACAATCACTCCGCTTAAAGGTGTTTAATCCTACATTAAAAACGATAATATTTTGAGGTTCATCTTATATCAAGCTATAAAAATAACTCATTTAATCCCAAAGTTGTGTAGAAAGAAAGTTCAACACCAACTGAAAGTCATCTACACCTGAATGGTAAAAGATACTCCGGAATAAGATGCAGATATAAAAGTCATTGTAATCATGAAGTCCATAGTAAAACCATAAAATACTATTGAGACAAAACAAATATTTTTACTTTGGGAAATGATTCAACCCAATAAATTCACGCATCCGAGCAGTTGCATACGCTAAATGATTGATTTCCGGAGGTCTATGACGTCGGATTAAACTTAGTAGACTCTGATCACGAATGCAAAAGGCCCCTGGAGGAAATAAACTTTGAACCTAAAAATATATAAAATGGTTGATCAAGTGTCAGTTTTCAAAATAACAAAGCTCATCGAGATGATGTAAACCATGCTTATCTTAGAAGTCGTTAAAGCTACATATATACTTACATAAGAAGCTTACTAGACATCTATAAATTAGATCCAGTACTAGGAAAATTTGTGTGAGTCGTCAGATTAGGATGTATTGTAGTGCCGATGTTTGATTTACTAAATCTGAACCTAAATGTTGGCTTCATTTCAAACATCGTATTTTGCTACTTGTTTAACAAAACCACTAGGTCATTAATTACTCTTAACCTAACTTATGATAGTCATTCAAACAAAAAATGTGATAACAGTTATACACGCTTAACATACCTAAACATAAATGGAAATGATCAAATAACCAGTTTCATCTGCTTTCGTATATTTTATATTTAAATAAGATTAGTTCAACGAAGAGTTCTCTTTCAGGTGAATTCATTTTCAAAGCTGTACAATCTCAAATATATATATAATTATTTTACAGGATGATAATAATTATAATAATACTGATAGTAAACTGTCACCATGTCTAACAGAATTTTATGATCAGTATTATTATAATTATTATCATCCTGTAAAATAAGTATATATATTTGAGATTGTACAGCTTTGAAAATGAATTCGCCCAAAAGAGAACTCTTCGCAGAACTACTCTTTCTTATTTTATATTTGACAAGTAAATGATGTTAGGCTGTGAAATTTGAACATAGAAATTAGCTAACTAGTAATGAACATGTTTTCCCTACGTCGTAAAATCCACATAAAGGAATACAATAAATGCACTGAAATAAAACAGAAATCTTATTGGTGGTTTGAATTGATTTCAATTTGTTCTGAAAATTATATGGTTACTGGAGTAGGAACGAAAGAAAACGCCGAACAAATCACACAAAAAGGGAATTTCGTAAGAGTAGGTGAATGAACAATTCTAGTTAGATACTGTTTTACTCAAGTAATTTTAGCTGTAAACACATTACTGACAAAGCATGATCTGGATTAAAGCTATAATACTAACCAGTTTAATCGCTTGTAGAAAAAAAACACGCTATAGTAATTTAAAATGAATCGTCATCCAGTAAATACACTTTTACTAAACGCTATTAGCATAACGTACGAAATGAGTGTGTTATGAGTAATATTGTCAAACATAAAAGTTGGATAATAGTGACGTATTTGCTTATAGTTCATTGAATAAAATGTACTGAGTTTGCGAAACTTTAACCGTTTGAAGCTGATAATATAGTTTAAACAATGGAAAACAACAAAATTTACATAATTAAGCGCATTCATACAACTTCGTGGCCTCTGACTTTAAAATGATTAAAATAACAAGGAATAATAAAATTATAAACAAAGGTTGGACATACTTTAGTCAGTAAAGTTTAGATTAACGTTTAAAATGGTACCGAAAATCAGAAGAGAAACAATAGGACGTATTGTTTAGATTTATTAAGGTAACTGATTGTACGATAGATAGTTGATTGTATTGTTCTGTTCTGAAACTTAACCAACAAAGTTTCTCTAAATGATCAAATCTGACATAATCATTTTTACTCAGTAATATCTGTTTACCCAATAACAGTAGTGCAACTATTTCTACTTGGCTACCTTAACCGCGATAAATGAAATGATGTTGAATGTTAAAATCAAATATTTAAAAGGTGAGATTTTAGATCTGTTGAGTACCGAACAAACAAGGAGTATTGTACTACCAAATTTATATCAAGAAATACAACACTACAGTTACAACTCATTGATTAATGTCAAGAATCATAAAGCAGGATATTTGCGACTACTTGGTCAATGAATAATCTGTCATGAATTTTCGCTTAAATCTCTTTTCGTGTTATGAAAATGGAAACAATGAATTTCATAGATCATTAATAAGAAAATATTAATGATATTCTTTAAGAGACTTATCTAAACATGAAGTCTTATACTAAGACGAAACGGCCGTCCAGTGCTTCCAAGTTATCATTGGTGGTCTGACATTGATCATTGATGATAACAATCTTAATTCAATTATTTCCACAACCCTATACTGAAAAATATTTTGTAAATCCATTAATTTAATGACGCATTTTGTCAAATTACACAATACACATGAAGATTATGAAAACATATTGAAACTTACAGATATGAAAGGTAAACGATTATTAATACATAGGTCTTGTAAATCTTTTAAAGTAATCATTGTAGTAAGTGCACATGGATTATTTGGGAAATCTGGATTTATAAAATGTGAAGAAAATAATGGATTGACTGCATTTCGTACAGGACAAGTAGTTAAACAAGCGATAAACAAAATAGCCACATTATACTCCATTAACACACGACAGTGAAAACCACCCTCAATTTGACCACGCCAAAGTAAATGACCTATCGGTCGTGACTGAGATCTGATTAGATAAGGAAATAAATTATAAACAAGTAGGTCTAAACGTTCGAAAAATTCAATCAAGTAAATGCATACATAGCAGTATCTATAATTACACTGGAATATATCAAAATAAGTCATAAATGACTTCAACAAGTGACTTAATTGGTAGTGCCAAATCTATAGCACAGCCATATTCTCGAAATTAACAATGATATAATGATAGTGTTACACAATGAACATGGTCTCATATAAAAAAGAACCAAATATTATAAAATAAAATTTCCTCTCAGCTGATTAGCAAAATATCGTCAACAAGCCAAAAAATGGAGGATAGCTTATCTGAATACTTAGTAGTGTGTGGTCTCGTATAGTACAATACTGTTCAGGCAAGAATTCACTGACATACAAAGGGGAGAAAATGTATACGACACAATATAAATAGCCACTGATATTTGGATTATCAGATGTGTGTTTGAACGTCCTGAACAATCACAGATCACTTTGGTTGGACATATCAGTTATATTGACTTATATCACTAATCCACTAAATAGTTCATTCAAGACTAATAAGATAGCAATCACCTCTTGAAATAAAACATCTTGTCAATCAACGAAAATTGACTTCACCCAGAGTACACCATCATTAAAGCCCATTGCCAAGTGATGCGAGAACAGTTGTTTTAAGTATAATAAAAGATTAACGGCTTTCAGGAGAAACTTAGGATCCAGAGGTAACTCATACAATTATAGAATGAACAGTCATATCTTCCGAGTTGGTAGAGTTCAAAAGTTAATTATGATAAGGTATAAATAGTTGATATATCAACTGACATGACATTAACTTGTTCAGACCTGTTTTTGATCGATCAAATATTATTCTTATTGTTCCGTTGTACTATTTAAACTTGGATTAATTTTAATTTAGTTATTTATTCTCTGAAGAAGTGACCTACACTAAGTCACGAAACGTCAGAAAATCTAATTTTCTACTCATTGGGATATTACAAATATATTATTTATTTATAACAATCTACCCAATGCTCAATTTAGTCGAAATTATCAAATCAAACCTTGGTAATGATACATAATTATGATAAGGTATAAATAGATGATATATCAACGTAATTTTTAATAAACTCAGTGCCACTAGGTATGATTTTAATAAAATTTATTGATATATACAGCTGAGAAATGCCAAAATCTTCAAAACACCTTAGTTCACAAGGCAGAGACTCGATTGACGCGTGCATGAATTCCAATCAGGTCGGAGCACGATGATTAGCCTATTTTCAACCAATTATTCCCAGAGGCTGGATTGAGAAGACTAGATTTATGTGTAAATTTTCAACAAACCCTTATGTTTTAACAGTATTAACTTTTGCTATTCGGACTTTTAGAATATATTTTCGTATGCTCTCGATTCATGTTCTGATTTAGGATCAGTCAAGTGAAGTATCGTGTCCAAGGAGTATATAATAAAGCAAACTTAAATTTACTTTCTGATTTAAAACGGTTTACAAATAACATCAAATTTCCAGCGGAAACTCCCATTTGAACGTTTAAATCATGATTAAAATAAAACTCACAGTTGTTTGGCGAAATGTTGTGGTGGTATTTCTTGTGTCCAATCATTATTAGGGAATAATTCCGATTCCACAGCTTTAGGTTGATGAGACAGGTCCGAATCATGAACATCTGGGTTTCTCAAATCAGATGAATGGATGGATTGAGCATCGTCATCAGGATTTTTATCAGAAAAAACGGATTCTGATGAGTCAGACTCACTACAGTCTTTCCGTTTACGTCCACGTCGTTTAGATTTTTTACTTTTGTCGACCTTTTTCGATGCCTTTCTGAAGTAAAGACGAAGGAAACCACGAAAAGTTTGTAGTTTTATTAAAGAATAGCTTTGTAACGAAAGTTGTTCACTATGGTACCACACTATCGAGAAATTACTACTATTTAAAAATATATCTTTTGTTTTGATCTTATTTTAAATATCCCAAGAATTACTTAAAAACGTGTTTGCTTTGTGAATATTGCGAGAAATATAGATAAAGCAAGAAACAATCGAATACGTCTTCAGATCAAACCAACTATTTAAATGAAAATAAACCAAGTTCATTGAGTCCACAGTATTTGCTAGATCTTGCTGATCAAAGGAATCAGAATATTGGCAATGATGTGATTGAACTTAAATTCCAGTTAACCGATCCGTGAATTGTGAGTGTTGCTACGACTTGATTACAAATAATAATGATCAGTCCTCAAACGGCTGTACCTCCGGTTCTGTGGTCACAGTCCTAGGTTGTCAAAATATCTACCAACTTTGTCATTTACAAGTAATTCGTAAAGAAATATCCTTCCATAGTGTGAGGGAACTGGAAATGAAAAGTCTTCAAACAGTACTGACAGTACTCGAGTTCATCTTATTCATAAGTAATCTGCTTCTTCATTCATTAATATTCCCTATATTTTAACTATCAGACCTCCTTGGCTTTGACTAAGAAGCCCATAAACCGTGTAAAGGTTGTCTTCTCGAATACTAACGCCCAAACCAAAGCTTATGACGGACTTTCATCAAAAATGCCAACCTCAGGTGGCGTTTGTCAGTGTTTCCCATTTTACTTAGTTTTATCGAATTTCATCAGAGATGTCTTTATAAAAATTACAATTTCATTCAACGTTTCAAGAATCGATTTACGCCCTGTAAACTCACTCTTTGATCTGGTGTACGCAAATAATATAGTCCTGTTTGGAATCCGTTTCTCTCCATGCAACTGCAAAATTTTGTCTCAGGACTAGTTCGTGTCAACGCCTTGATCGGTCATCTAAAGTAAGGTAGTGGAGTGAGTTGACCACTTCACTTACCTTAAAAGTTTCATCAGCCCTATTGTATTAGTAGCTGATCGAACTCCAAATATGAATTCACAAAGTTAATTTAGCTTATGTTAATTTGGACCACTTGTGGTGTATGATGTGTCATTTTTCAATCAAGGGCGAGTATACTACTGTTTATTTAAGCAAACTCATATATTGATACAAATGAGATCAAAATAAATATCCACTAAGATTGCGAATAGACAGAGAAAGGAGGGTGAGTATGATCAAAAACGATATACAAATAAGAATAAGTGGATGAGGGCAGTGAATAATACGAGCAGTTCCGTTAAGAAAATTCCAATCAGAAAGAATATTTTTAATTACAGAAGTTTCTCTCGGTTTTAAAAGAGAGTAAAAAAACTACATGATCACTATCGGTTTCTATTCTGAGCCATGTTTGATAACGTTTCAAGTCAGTGAGTTGTGATATTTGTTGAACCCCAACCAGAGAGTCTCGAGAAGCACAGACATGTCAGTCCTGTACAGTTTTCTTCCATATCCCGGCAACAAGTTATAAACTGACCACCTCTCTGATTTTTCCAACCACCGTATTTCACCATGACTGTAAAACATGTCTGTAAACATAAAAGACATGCGTAGGTCACAGGTGCATTTTCAACACTGTTCGCATATTTTAGAGCAACTGTGTAAGCGATTCTGGGGTCAGATGTACAGTAAGCATGCGTAATATTACTAAGCAATTAACTGTTGAAAGTAGATGTTTTTAAAATAGTTGGGTAAAATGAAACTTAACTATTCTTAGCTTTAGTGACATAACACTGAACTAGGTCTAAATTCAAAACTCACTTTTTTCGAGACAAATGTAGGATATTAGTTATTTCCCGACCTTCCCCTGGTTCATACAATAGACCCCAACCAACCCACTGAAATTGACTTAGACGAGTTTTTATGAGCTCCCATTCGTGTTCACGCTGGGTAATCATATAACAGTGATCCGATGTTTTGTGTTTCCGTAATATTTTATTAGTAGGCTTCTCTTCTTCTGGAATCATCTTGCTTTCAAGTACTTCACTAAGCGACTTTGCCAATAAAAGAGCTGCATTTATCCAAGCATCAGAGCCAAGTTCGCCAGTTATAGACAAATAGTGGAGCCATATGTTCCAAACAGTATCACAAAATGATACTTTTTGTTCCACAGAAAGATTTAATTCTTTAGCCAAACAATTTGCTTGACGTCTCATTATGAACTGTAAAGTGATAACAATAACTTTGTATATACAACAACCTATGATGCAGAAATGAGACTTAACAATGACTCAGATAACAATAACTAACTAAAGTTTAGTTCGCTTGTTTCTCAAAGTCTAGCGTACCAAACGGAAATATAATTATTTTACAATGAAGAAATGTACAGCATGGTCATGAAACTGAAACCCAACAGAGTCTTAAACTTGGATCGTATTGGTTAAAAGTCAAGTACTTTAGCTAATTTGTAACTCTAGAGCTACTGAACGAGAGTAATTCAGTTGAATAACCACAGAGAATCATTAGATACGTTTTGGAATCAGACACTTTTACATTCGCTATATTTTTTAATGTTATTAAATATAAATAGACAGGGTCAACTTAAATAAGTATAAAAAGATTCCAAAATGAGAATTTAAATTCATTGTAGACAATTAATGGGCCACTTTTAGAAACGACAAGATGTACACATACATATTATTTTTGTTTATTTTCACTGACTAGCATGGTTAATATAATACATTTCATGATTGGTGGCTAAAATGAAGTGAATGAGTTATTTCTTGCTTTTGCATCTCATTCAAGAGATATCTTTAGAAACAATGTGCTTGAAAAAGAAACATTATTATGAAGTTGTCAAAATGATATTATCTTAATAACTTAATTAAATAATGTATGGCTTCACTACTTAATAAGAAAAAATATTACACTAAATTAGATATAATGACTGAAATTAATAAGGTTAGTAGGATTAGACTGTATAATCCTTTGTTTTGTTTAAGTAAATAATCTGTTTAAAATGGTTAGTTACTATTCGACACTCTTTTTTAGTAGTAATTAGCCCTTTAAAAAAAATTAAGATTGATGAACATTTTTGTGAACAATTTCATTTCTGCCTTTATTGAATTTAAAGCTTATTTATAAGATATAATATGAATACAGAACTGAACAACATATAATTTAATTTTTCACAAATTTTAACACTTTTAGAGTAGAATCCTAGTATTCTACACTTACATAATCTTAGCTAACAATTAATGACTTCATAGCGTTTTGTTTTTAATCACAGTACATTGAGTATTGTATCTAAGATCGAATATTCTGTCAAATGAATCAAAAATTTAGTTATGAACATATTATATTAGGGTTTCAAAGATTATATAACATATCTTTACACCTACTATCAATGTTCAGATCGTCGGGAGATTTAGGAGAAAAAATAAAGCATCTCCAATTGTACACTACTCTGACACATCTCATTGTGATCCAAAACTCCAGATCCATGAAAAATGACCACAATTAACTTTACGGTCAATAATATTATTGTGACAATGAAACGCTGTTACTTCAACAAACAACACGTTTGCATGGGCTAAAGATAGATAAATATAAGAATAAACTCACAGTGAAAGGTTCAGACAACCGCCAAGGACGATGGCTTTCAAAGCACTTTTCTTTCTGCATAGGATTAGTGAAGCTCACCTCATTCGCGCTGAAGAGATCATCATCTAATGTGTTCAACAGGTCTTCACGACAAACAAAATTCATATTTTGGTCATGTGTGCTATCCGACTCAACTTTTACAAATCTCGATGTGTCCGCTATGTTATCTGTAGCTGCTTGGTTGGATTGACTACCTATAAGTTCAGTCTTTTGAATCACTCGTAATCCGCGGGTTTCAGAGAAATCCTGGGACTAAAAATATGGATTTAAAAGTACAGTAAAGCTTAATACATATAACTAAACGATTAGTTTAAAAGTAAGTATGAACTATTTAACGCGCAGAAAACTCTTTATTACTAAAGTACGTGACTAATCATTGGTATTTTTTTCTAACTTGAAATTTTCCCTAGTGAGTTGCTTTTAAAAACTTGTTGATTTAAAACCTAAACCACCAGTCTATTTAGCGAACAGTGAGTACGTCTGCATATGCTTATTATCTGAATTTCATCAGATAGAAATATGTCAGCCCGCTTAATTATTTCATGACAACACAAAGATCTTAACTTGACGAACAGACTAAAAATGAATGATGAACTTTTATCAATAACTCATCAATATTAAGCATACAAAAGATTAGATAAAGAACCAATGGATTACAATTTGGGAGAATGATTAATTCGACCCTTGAAGGAACAACTCGTGGTAAAAGAACGTTCATTGGTATGAAACATCTAGGGAATATCGAAACAGCATTTTTAAAATATATCGATCCCTAAACATTAAACAACACCAACTTTATTCTTAGGTACTAACGGAAGTTTAATGATTAGAAATCCATTATGGTCACTGTGTTACGTTGACCTACGGTCAGTACGCATTACATCTGACACAATGACTAGAAAAGATTGATAAGACCTAGCGTTTTACCACGATAGGTTACGAAGGTGAGTATGTAACCCAGATGAAACTTATGTAGGGACGCAAAGGCTAGGGACAATCAAACTGAGAAGTGACATCAATCCATAAAGTCAACGACTACTGATTTGCGTTGTGTAGGCAGGGATACAGACTTCCTAGTTGAAAGCCATAATCAACTGGACCGAATTAGATGCGTTTAAACTTTACCTCATAGTTAATGAACTATAAAATCATTGCACGTTTATTATTCCCCAATCTAATGAATCCATGTTAAACTATATTCTCCAAGCCTAGTTGTTCTTTTATTGATGCAATCATTATTTCGACTCACGCTGTATTTATTTCGTTAATTTTTAATAGCTATGTTGGTGTGAAATGTGACAACATGCATCTATTCATATTTCTTCCAAGTTTTACGTTGTTTACAAATCACTGACTGTGGAAAGGATATCAGTAACTCTCTCAATCCTGATACAGAACAATATTAATACTAGTTAGTAAAGTACAGTAATTCGCATACTTGACGAAATCTAATAAGCTTGTAAGAACTTTCAGTACACCTTCACTAACTAAATAAAGCATGTAAAGATATAAAACATTCTGTAATCTCTGAATAAGCTAAGATAAACGATTAAATGGTCTGGGAACAAACAGATTTCTCTAGAAAATAACATACTTGGGTAACCCCTCTATAAACACCTGTTGCAGTTCCACATTCTGAACAAATCAACTGTCCAGTGTTTTCATCTTCTATAAGTTGACGATTTTCACAAATCGGACAACTCATTATAGCTAAGGAAATGATAAAAAGTAATATGTTTCTAAGCTTCGTAATTTACTTAGTATTATGCAATCTAATGTAATAAAAACTGCTAATGCAATCAAATACATATTTCGGAGTCACGTTCCGTCATGGGGTGTCAAAAAAAGTTTTAGTTGGCATAGCACCACCCATTCATAATGTGCTTATAAGGTTAACTTAGTTTTACCTTCATAAATCACTTACCATGTACAGCAAGTAATCATTATCATGTTCTTAGGGTTTCGAAATTCGGTAGTACCTATCCCATTTGAAGTATCTAGTATCCTATATTTATTGGCCTTATATTGGTTACTAGACTATTAATACCAGAAACCCAGAAGTAATTAATTATTACACTCTTCGTACCATCATATTATCGGCTGGTTGCACCTGACTTCATAAACTCATTGTAAGTAGATCACATTTGGGTTTAATGGTAGCATCAAGGCACTATATTTGATTGACTATTTGGCTATTTAATTTCTTACGGCTACGATTGATCACAATCATCATCACAGGTTAACCAGACTTCAATAGCTGAATTATACAACGTTAAGAAAGCGAGCAGATCTGCCAATTGTTTACTCCCACCTTGTTTTGTTATATTTTGACTAATAAAGCAAACATGTAATTCAAAATGAAGTGACCCACACGGTGCACGTAGTCAACAACTGCAAGTCTCCGAATAAGATAATAAGGCAATTTGTATTTAGGACGTTATTTCTAATTAGAAAGATTTGGGGCCCTGGATATTTGTTTTGACGAATATCAATCACCCGACATATACCGACAAGTTCCAACGTTCTGTACAATACAGTACAAGTTACCACAAATGACCTTGTCATAAAAAGCAGAACAGTCAGAAACTGACATATTTAGGGAAGAAAGATCAATGATTTATTGGTGAAATTCTAAATCCCAGTTCAATTAGCTAAGTGAGAAGTTATGGGGTATGGTACAAGGTTTTCTATGTTTCTTCCCAACAATTTGTAATAACATACTCCCAAACGCTTATGTTTTGATATCGAAATGAAACCCATTGTTTTTCAAACAGGTTTGTATGATTATTACAATGCGGCATTAAATATAGTTGATTGATAAGGATTAATTTGTGAAAGATTATTAGTCGTGTAATTACAGAATAACAAACCACAATATATGAGATTAACTATAACAAAGGTCACGATTTCCTTTACAATGACTGGCAAAAGAATGTTTAGGAAGAACCCCAAATATAACTGAACAGTTGAATGCCATTTGAAACAACACACTTTATCAGAATACCACAAAAATGTTTCGAGCACAGTAAAACATGAAAATAAAGGCGAACTTTGGGGGAATATAGGAAATTAATTGTCAATTAAGGTGGTATTGAATCTTTAAGTGAATATCATATTCGCTAGATGAAGCAATTGATTCCTTAGTTGCATAAAAATCATCTAAAGGAAATTAGTTTCCGTGTATAACACCCAATTAATGCAAGACTGCACATTTGATGACAGACTAGTTATTCACAATGACTCAGTTTGCAACGTCTATATCGAGAATGCTGTCACAATACATGCAGAAAGCCTCATGCACTATCCACTTGCTTATATCCAGAACGACCAACTTCTTGACAAAGGCATTGGTCACAGCAAATTTCTTGTTTACGACCAAAAAACCGGTAGGAGGTTTTGAGGTTGTAGAATACAAATTCTTCTTACATCGATTTATTAGTTCATCTGAACACATAAACATTGGTACAAGGAGGACACCAAATACATATGCATCACATAATAATAATGAGGATGTGAAGAGATAAGAGGCGTAAAATGCGTATAATAAAAGGAAGAACAACAATGAACAGAAATTAAAGTATAGAAGTGAAGTAAAAACATCATTATGGGGAAAAGCAGTTCGGTTAGTAAAAATACAACCAGAAAGAATTCAGTCAAAGAAGTTACATTAGTTTTATGAAGTAAAAGGAAGCTACAGCAGGATCGCCACTGGTTTCTATTCTGAGTCATGTCTGATAACGTCTCTAGCCACTGTGTTGCACCGTCTCTAGGATCACAGACGGGTAGTCATGAAGGACCAACAAAGCCAGTCCTGTGCAACTTTCTTTCATACTACGACACCATGTGATACATCGACCTCTTCGCTTTTTCCAACCAGTCCCAATGTCGGCAATTAATGCACGACGTGGGATTCTCTGGGACGATCTTCGTAGAACATGTCCGGACCACAGAAATTGACGTTTCAAGATAATGACACTAATTGGATTATCATCGCTGCCAATGCTAAATCTCTGCGTTATTAACATGGCATTGCCACTGGATGTCAGCATTCTTTCAGAGACAACGGTGACCAAACACAGTGTCGTCTAACATCTTCGACTTGGAGAGGCCAGGTCTCACAAGCATAGAGCAAAAAACTGCTCTCACCGACGCGTTGTAGATCCGATCTTTTACAGCTAAACTAACAGCACGAAGACGCCAAAGATGATCCAGATTGGAATAAGACGCTCTGGCTTTCACTATATTTGAACTGATTTCATCACTCACGCCACCACCAGCACTTATGCAGCTACCCAGATACACGGACTTCTTGATTACTTCCTTCTGCTCACTACCGAGGGTGAGTGTAGAATTAGAGTCCTGCCAGTCTTGTAGAAGTACTTTGCACTTGGACGGTGCAATGTACATGTCATACTTACGGACACTGGCTGCCAACTGATAAAATGCTGATTGCATGGCTTGAGTATCATCGAACAGTGAGACAATATCATCCGCGTACTCAAGGTCGTTCTCCAGACAGCAGATTCACACCACCATTACCCAAATCCACCAGAGCTGTTTCTGGAACATCATCGATAGCAAATTCGAAGAAAAATGGTGAGATTGGGCGACCGTGCATAGCCTCATTGATTTAATGTACCAGTGGAGTGAGGCGGTTGTGTGCGTTCACTCTGAGGTGTTAGTATATAGGATTTCAAGATGTTAATAGACTCAGACACATCCTTCCTCTATAGACAATCCCAGAGAACAGTCCACTCCAACAAACCGAAGGCGCTCCTAATGTCAAGAAACACGATTGCTGACCTGTGATAAGTATGACGGTGTTCTAACATTTGGTCGAGGGTGAAGATATAATCAATACATCCTCAACTAAAACAAAAACCAGCATGCTCCTCATTAGTCAATATTTCTCAGGTTTTGAACAATCTACGAAGTATGGCGTAAGTCAATAGTTTGGACGCAATCGGAAGTAAACTTATCCGCCGATAGCTGTTGCATAAAAGACGTGAACCCTTTTTAAAGATAACACAACTATCCACTCATTCCGTGATGTTGGAACACGCTCTAATTACAGGACCTTTGTAAATAACTTAGTCAGTACCATAACCAGTAAGTCGCCACCATCTTTGAAAATGACCGGAGGTAAGTCATCTGGGCCTGGTGACTCGTGGCGCTTCAAGAGTTGGAGCTCTTGAAAACTTCACATCGTTAGATGGATCAGTCGTCACGGGCCATGGAGTGTAGGACAATTTGTCGATGTCCCGGGGCATCAGACCAGCTAAACTGCCCCTCGTCCAAGATGTCGGTACATGTCACTGATTGACGTCCCGTTAGCTTCATAGATTGTTTCACTCACACCAGACTCCTTGCTACCAGTGACTCGGATGAGTTGAAAAAGCCTCAGATTTAGCCGCTTTTCCCAACTCGTTAGCAAGCTCCGACCACCAGGCTTCTCGGTCCTTACGCAAGCTTTGAACTATTTTGTTAGGTAACAATCTTTGTTTATGGTCAAACTCGCGGTCACCCGCAATAGACCGACGTGATACAATGAGATGTAAGGAGCTTGTAGACACCCAGTTAATGGAGATCCAATAGATCAGTGCTGCTTCATCTCTGGTGCTTAGTGCGACACCAACACCAGCAAAACGAGACGAAATTGCCACAGGGTTCCCGGATAAACGCAATTAAAACAAGGTTTGCGAAGTGGCAGATGGAGTGCCAATTCGTAGTACTCTACTAGAGTCTTGAATACAGGTATCGGATGGACAGCAGACATCGACGTTGAAGCTTTCTAAAGACATAGCCAACTCTATCTGTTGTCTGATCTGCTTTAGTATGCGAACGTTGAAAGAGGCCAGTTTGAATGGCATACGTGGTTCTAGAAAGACTGTTTTAGTATTCGTAATCAGTGGTAGCATTCGACTCTCGAACAGTCAGTGACTTAAGATCGTTTAGATAGGACAGGGTTTCCACCATAGGCGAAATTCTGTATAAGTTGGAGAATAAAATACGCAAAGTGAGAATAAGGAGTACATAAGTAATGAAGTACAAAAGAAACAAAAACGAATGTTACCAAATGATTGTGAATATGACTTTTCTGAATGAGCGTTGAAACAAGAGAAATTTTTCCAGCATTAATTATCATTGATTTGTGTATGAGCTGGGATAATACCCAAGTGCCCAAACCAAAGTAGATGGTGTTCTTAGGGGGTCACTTCCCGAGCCTTTGACCTATAGATCTAATTCAAAAAGTAGTGGAGAAACGTTAGAAGATGCCGTCTCATGGTAGTCGATGACCAACAATAGGTTCATATGCTATTCGCCCCCTCAGGATCCCGGAGCCCATTTGCAACATTGGTTTGGAATCAGTGTCTCCTAACTCCACTGGGTGGATCCTCCGTACCCATTGACCCGGTTAAAGCGCCAGACGTTTGCTTTTCGTCCTCTCAATTTCGTAACCAACCTCCCCACCGTGGGATTCAGTGAGAAATACTTCCCTGTCAGTGGCTGTGTATGCGAGGCGATGTGAGAACATTTCGAAAGGAAGAGCGGGCTCTTTCTATTATCGACCGTACCGGGGCATTTTGGGTACATAGCATTTGAATTACGACTTCATAGTTGACGTGTTTCACTAGTATACACTTACACACTATCACTTATGGAAACCCGCATGTGCTCATGACTAACTACTGAGCACATAAAAATGCTTATGTGATTAGGTAGGAAAAATTCTGTGAAGAATCCCAAGGGGTAGGGCATGAGGTCTGCACTTCAACATCTGTAGTCAGTTTATGTCTACCTTGGACAACTACCACATCAAACCTCATTGATGTGAATCTAGTATTATTGCAAGTGATCATGTTTCTTAGAGTAGTATGTAAACAAAGCTTTAGTCTAGCGGAGATAGTAGGTTCACACTAATGAGGTTTAGGCTGATGGAAACATCCTTATTTCCAGTAGTTAAGCAAGCCTATTATTGCTGTATATTTATGTAAATAAGTTCGACTGAGACAGACTTCCAACCTTCAATCTTAATATTAATCCCGAGTGGCAGTCAAGAGGCCAAGTGAATTATACATGCAATTGTCTTCTCTTATAAATTACCAAAAGTGGATGCAACCTTAAAAAATCATGTACCAGATGTCTCGCAGCTGACTGCTAGTACGTGGCAAATGATGGGCATTTTATATAATGCATCATTCAATACTGCGTCCAACAATGTCGTCGATTTAACGCAGTTCCACTTCCGTCTGTCAAATAAGGAAAGATCGGAAACACTGATGTAAAGGATAGACTTGTAAGGTAATAGATTTCTTTGATTATTCATTTGGATGACGGATGAATAAGGCGACCAAGTTCATGGACAACAAGACAGAGACGTCATTGAAGCATGATCTGGCGTACATACAGCTCGGGGCGTGGTGAGTTCAATTTGCTTGAAACTCGAAATAAGTCAGTCAGTCAGCTACAAAATACATCGGTCCAAGTTTTCATACCTCATTAGCACAATAAGACAAACACCAAATTCATAGTAGTAGTTACTTCAATGATAGTAATATATAAAAGGCAGATTGTATATCAGGATAAATGCAGGAAGAAAGAATTAGAAAGAAGTGTATAAAGTAATTTTAATCTCACGGTTTAAGGGAAGACAAAGAGTGCATACACCGACGCTATTGTGATCGATTCTAAGCCATGTCATCCAGTCTCCAACCATTGGTTACGATAGTCACGCAGACACCAAGTAGTCTGCATCTACCAACATGGCTTACACTGGAAGTTAGTGACTTCAATGACTGATGCCAAGTTTTGGTTTGGCCGCACCTAACTTTCTTCCAGCCGTCTCCAACACTATTCAGAATTGTGCGTCGTGGTAATCGGTGTTCAGGCATACGTAACACGTGGCTCAATCATCTCAGTCGATGAAGAGTTTATTTTTGCGTTTCCTAGGCTCAGTGATCAGTTTCACTGAATATTATTGTAAGTCTAGCCTCATACGGACTATCCATGAAAACATATGTTTGACCAGTGTATGATGAGTTAATCTTTTTTTTGTGACCATTTTTTGATCAAATCATTTTTTTGGAAAACTTCAACATTCTCGCTTTTATCAGCTATACTGAACCGAATGAGACGTAGGTGTTAAAAGCCTTTATGATTCAATCTATCTTCTAAAAAAGGATATATTTTTAGTGTAAACTTCTACTTAATGAATCCATCATAACCAATTATATTTGTTTTTCAGGTTGATGACAATCATACTTGTTACTTACAACCAAGAGGCATCAGTGGCACTCTAATGTTGATATTCACGTAAACTGTGAGTGAGAATCCTATAAACAAATTCATTTAGGTGCATGAATCATTCTTCTTACTGAGGTCAATTGTTTAAAGATATTTGCTCTGGGGAAATCATGGTGATCGTATAGGACACTAAAGCGAAAAGAGGTATATTTAGCATAAATTTAGATGAGACAGACTATTCGGTGTACATTTAGGCGAAAAGTGGATTATTTGGCTACCCTTGAGGTATGAATCTCAAGACTTCACCTCATGGTAGATATTTAGGTAAAATGTTACTTTTCATGATAGGCGAAAAAGGCGACTTAAAAATGCAATTGACTACAAATTTTTGTAATAGATGTTGCCAAAAAATTCCACAAGTTCGTCCATGCCCTAACGTTTTTGGTTTAATTGGATTGTTGTGGAAACTTTTCTGAGGAATTCGGATATATGGTTGATTTTGATAGTTA